CTCCAATGTAAGACCAAATGTATTCAGTGGGCCTCACTCCCAGGAACACGTAGGAAGGATTGTAGGCTAAGTTACACAAAGCATAATTACCAAGGAAGACTGTTTTGCTGAACACTGTGAAGAGATAATAGAGAAACTGTTTCAAAGACAATAATCCCTGGACTTTTACCTGGTCTGAAAAAATGAAGGACTTTTGTCTATTTTTTAAGAATAAGATTTTTGTAAAGAGCAGCAGTTCTTTGCCTCAGTGCCAATGAATCCCTTCATCCATTCATTTTATTCCTATTTGAGAGTGTATTTCAGAAAGGAGGGAGCGGAAAAGGATTTTTTCCAGGCGCCATGTATTTTCAAAAGGGTCTCAGCTGCAACCTCATCAAGTTTTGCTTTTGTTGCCCGTCTGTCTGTCTTTTTCCAAATTAAAATTGCATAGGGCGATTTTAACCACTTGGGGTGGAGGTATTCCTAAATATATCCTGGGTTCTTACTTGCAGTTCAGCACGGAGTGTTGATGCCTGGTGCAGCTTGACGTGGCCCCATCCCAGGAGCGCCCTTTCAGCCTCTCGAACAGAGAAGACTGTCTTCCTTGCTTCCCCACCTCCCATCCTTAGGAGCGTGTTCATTACAGTCCTGGACAACCAGATCCCTCTCAAAGGCCAGTCTTCAGAAAATAAACAGTGCCTAAACAGTCAGAGCCTTGTGAAGAAAAATTGAGATGCTGTCTGTTGGTGCTTCTTGTGTGCTGGAGGACTGGATGAGTACAGTATCCCACCTCTCTTGCTAAGAAGCTAGTTGAGGCTCCGCTCCCCATTCATAACCTTGTAGGGCCTTTTCTGCGTCCATAGACGCAAAGCACAGATCCAGATACTCCACACAATAATATGTGTGTAAGATGTATGTGAGCGTTTTCCCCACAACCTTTTCAGATCTCTTCCCCACCATTTTTGTTGTTATTATTTTAAAGGCACTTAAAAACCTCCTTTGGAAAGAAAACCCCGCACACACATCGTCCCTAAGTCCAAGGGCGAGGTGAACTTCAGGTCAGCGCGTCTAACGAATATGAAAATGTCGCTGGGTGAAGGACACGCCTTGTTATTTAACAAAGACTGTCAATGTGTAAGATTAATAAGAAACAAAATGCGCCCGGTGTCACTTTTCGGTCACTTTGAAACTTGGGGCAGGGTTGCATTCAAGAGGGAAAGCTGGGTTAAATATATTCAAAATGCTTCAAATCAAATTCAAGCCAGGCTGCCGGGTGTCCCCTCCCCTCCCCCGCTCCTCGCTTCTCCCCTCCCCACTCCATCCGTTTCTCTCTCCCTCCCCTGTCTTCCAGGCGCGTGGGCAAGTTGAAAAGTTTAACTACATATATTATATAAAAATTTACAACCAAAGAATGTGTGTGTTTTTACGGCCGGGCATGTGCGTGTGCATACCCCGATATATATATATCGGGGTATGCACATATATATATATGCAGAGAGAGAAAGAGAGAGAGGGGCAGTCTTTAATGTTTGTCCAAGCTTCGCCTTCTTCCTCGATTGTGTTCCCGGGGGAATTAGCTTCCAAGGAGGATAATCTCGCAGTTCAGCAGCTCCTAAAACCGACCTCTCGAGATGGGGAGGTCCCCTTCCCTGGAAATCAGTTTTCCTTTCGGGGTTCAGACCCCCTCTGGCAATATTCGGCTGCTCAACTTTTGCTCGTCGGTTTTAGTGCATTGCGGCTCAATCCACCCCGCCACCAACGTGTCCGCGCATGTGGCTTTTAAGAGCTGACCGAGGCTCCGCAGCTCACGGAGGCCAGGTTTCAGGGTTTGGTACCGGATGAGGGTTGCTCAGTGGGGCCATAAATCTCGGGAGGAAGGAGTGTGCCAGGGGCAGCGTGGAAGCGGCCGCAGGAGAGATAACACTCGGTGGTCTTGGCCGGACTCTTGTTTATGATATGTAAACCGCAAAGATGAGGAACAGGCCCCATCTCTGCAGTCTGATGCTGCAGCTGAACGGCTTAGGTCACCCTGGAGATTTACAGCCGTAGCCCAGAACTGTATTCATTTCTGTTGGACTGAGCCAAGGAGACACCCAGTGGAAAGCAGTCAGGGAAACAGAGAGGGCTCCGAGATGTAATCAGGAGACCTAATATTAAACAGCCCCTGGGATGTTCCCCAAGTCCGAAGGTAATAATCAGGAGACGAAAAGAAAGAAGGTACCTGCATTCCTTGTATTATGATTGCTACCATTATTTTAGACTGGACTTTTTTTTCCTTTGAGGCAGCGTGGTTTTCTTATAATTGAGATTGCCTTCGGAGCCAAGGGCTTCCTTTATCTCAAGGGAAAATGATGCTGCTCGTTTATGTCTGAGGCGGAGCTCACAGTGTGGATGGGCCAGGATGCATTGTCCACCTCTGCTTGTGAATATCTGTGCTAAACCAGCGCTTTGCCTGAAACATGGAAGCTTTCTAGGTGTTGATATAATAGCAAGATAACGGGGCGGGGGGGGGGGGCAGAAGAGTGTGGGGGAGGAACTGTGACAACTTGCGTTGCCCTCCGCAACCCTTTAAACCGTGAAACGGTCGGGAGCTGGGTGTAATTCCCACGGATGCCAATGGCATGCAGTTGGCTTGAAACCTCCGTGCTGGATCCAGCGGTTTTGTCTTCCCGTTGCTTGCAAATGTTTTATGGCCTGCCTGTAGCGAATGACATCATATTTGCTTTCACAAATACAGCGTAGGGGAGAAAGCATTTCATAGAAAGTCCACTGGAGATGAACAAGAAAAATAGGCTGTTACCATTTTTAGGAAAGAGATATTTCCGATATTAGCTGGAAACCAGCACTTGTTTTGATATTCAGGAGAGTGTCTGCAGTTTAAGGGAAGTGCACAACATGTAGGAAGTGGAAGGCATCAAGGGAAATAGGCATAGAAATATGAAATATTGGGAGAGAAAGGACAGGCACACACAGAAGCAGTAGTTAAATGGTCTTTAATCTGGAGGCAATAGTTATGAACCGCTGATGTAACCACAAAAGTGAAAATATTCATTTTGGGGAAATAACCATGACTACTCACATACATGGATTAAAAAAAGAAACCGCCAACCAAACAGTAAAGTGGGCAATGTTAAAATGGGCTCCTTTTTTCAGGGCTGAAACTTCTGGGTTTCACATTCCCCCCTCCCTGCAATGGAAATGGTTTTTGTAGAATAATCCTATATGTGGCAGAAGTAAACCTTACTGAATTCAGTGTCTAGGATTGCAATTTTAAAGCTCAAATGTTAAAATAAAAGAGTGAGTTTGCGAGATGCACCAAGCAATTGGGTTAATATACAAATGTGGACAAATAAAAAGAGCGATAGAATGTCTAGCTTCTGATTTCTATTATCCTGGGTTAGGCAGTCACTTTCCTTTGCTTTAAGTCCCGGTAATGAATGAATCAATTTTTAGGAATCCTAGCAGGTAAAAAATGATTTTTTACATCACTCAACTGCAGTATTTATTGTACTTGTGAAATATGACAGTGTGTTTTCTTATTCTTTACCATAACTAAATTTCATAGTATGGAAGATCATCTTTGCATCGCCAATGCAAATCTCCATCCTAGTAATCAAAGGGCTTATTAGTTTGCTTTTTTCAAGAATGCCGATGAGCCCCATTCCTGGTCTAACTGCCTCTAGTTGTTTGTTTGTTTGTTTGTTTTCCCTTTATTTCCCTGTTATATCAGCATCCTGTTCTAATGACAAACTGTCACCTCTCCAAATTTGCCACTGGATGGCAGATTCTAATAAATAAATAAATACATAAAACCACTGCCCAAGAGCAACCTGCCAAAGGCCCGGAGAGGTGTCAGAAAGAAACAAATAGTGCTTGCAATGGTTAGGTGGCCCTTATTTCATGGGATTCCATGATTCCATGAAATTGAGTCCCAATCCAATTGCGACCGTCCGATCATTCGCTAGCCCTCCAAGGGAACCTCATCCCAGGGCGATGTCCTTTCTGCTCCAGGAAGGCGCTGGAGCGTCCTATCGTTCATGGACTGGGTAGCCCTTCCGAAAGGAGGCAAGGGAAGACGCGGGGAGAAGGCGGGCATACACTGTTCGTTCTGTTTCAGGCGAAGACATCTCGGACCTCGATTGCCTCGCTCGCGCTATCCTAGCTCCTCGGAGGCCAGCTCCAGAAAACGTGCTCTGCTCCTAACAGCCGCGCGCGCGCGCGCACGCACGCACTCACGCGCGCGCGCTCGTCACAGCTCTGTCCTGCGGATGCTTTAATCCGGGGTGAGGGCCACCCTTGGTTCCTCTCTGACGACCTCTAACACGGATCGAGGTATCCCACACCGTTGGAAGGTGTGCCAGGGTAGCTGATCCGTGTGTGATCAGTTACCAGGTCTAGTGCGCTCTTCCTAGCTATAAACGCTTCCAAGCCACATCGCCACGTCCGTGTGCGCGACACGCGGTCCAGGGAACAGCACCACGGAACAGGACAGATCACAGCAATGACGCGTGAGCTTTCTCGCTCGGTCTTGCTCGCCCTTTGCTGCCCGTGGGAGGAACCAGAGGGAATCTCTCTTCTCCTCGGCTCGCACGGGCTTTGCCTCGGACTGGACGCTTGGTTCCCTAGCAGGGGAAAAGCAGGCAGGGACCGTCCTGGGCTGGTCCACCAGCGCTTCATTTCCTGATCCGGGCTCTGCCAACCGCGTAGTAATTGGCCCTGCCGGTCAGGTGGTGGGGGTGGCATTGCTGGAGATGTGCGTGCGTGTATGCGAGCGTGTGTGTGTGTGCCCGCGCGTGTGCTTCTAGCTATAGGGCCGAGCATGGGAGAGGGAGGGGGAGCGGCGGAGGCCCAAACTTTGGCAGCAGGCTCTTGACAACAGCAGCGGGAGGGGGGAGGAGGAGGGAGGGAAGGCAGGAGGGAGGGAAGGAAGGAAGGGGGAAGGGGGAGGAGGGGAGGGGCCTCATCGAGCCCAGAAAAACGACAACGCGAGAAAAATTAGTATTTTTGCACTTCACAAATTAATGACCATGAGTTCGTTTTTGATAAACTCCAACTACATCGAGCCCAAATTCCCTCCTTGCGAGGAATATTCGCAGCTCGGCGGCGGCGGCGGCGGCGGCGGGAGCAACTACCACCCCCATCACCACCCCCATTCCCATCACCACCACCACCACCACCCCCAGCAGCAGCAGCAGCAGCAGCAGCAGCACCTGCGCCAGCAACACCAGGCTCACCCGGGCCAGCCTCTTCCCGATTATTACCAGCGGCCGAGCGGGGAGCCGGGATACCAGCCGCCGCCCCCGGCGCCGCCGCCCCCTCCTCCTCCTCCTCCCGAGGCGCTGTACCCCGCGCAGCCACCCCGCTACCCCGAGTCGCCGTATAGCTACAGCGCCATCAGCGCCACTCCGGGCCAGGAGCAGCCCGGGCCAGGGGTCTCGCCGCCGCCGCCTGCTCCCGCGCGGAAGGGCCACCACGTCCCGCCCCAGCCCCAGCCCCAGCCCCAGCCCCAGCCCCTGCACCCTGGCCACGTCCCCCACCCCGCGCCGCCGCCGCGCCCCGGCGAAGCGGCTCCCGTGGCATCGAGCGGCGGCAGCTCCGCTTGCCCGCTCTTGCCGGGGGACAAGAGCCTGCCCGGCCTCAAAGGGAAGGAGCCGGTGGTGTACCCCTGGATGAAGAAGATCCACGTGAGCACGGGTGAGCGACCTTCTCCGCGGGGAGCCGGGCTGGGTGGCGAGGACGCGCGGCCGGTGGCGGGAGGCTGCGAGCAAGGCTGCACCGGGGCGGCGGCGGCGGCGGAGGCGCGGGCGGGGGGGGGGGCTGGCGGGCGATGGCGCATTTCCTAATTTAAAGGGGGAAACCCCACCGCGGCAACACGTGAGAACCCCTTGGTACGCGGGGCCCTTCATCAAGTGCCTGACGAGACGCCAAACTGTTAGGGCAGCAGTTACAGCGCCCATAAATTTAATCGCCCTGGCAGCAGCTCTGGGCCACGCGTCTTTGAAGCCTTTCTTGACCCAAACGCCCGTCACCCTTTTTATGGCTCCCCAATTGTCTCCTATTGTCAAGAGCCTGTGAACCCCTTTCTCCCAGTTCTAGCCATCTTTTAGTGCCAGCATTTAAGTTGTCACATCATAATAATTATAATAATAATAATAATAATAATAACAATCCTTTCCCATTTGCCTTCCTCCTCCTCCTCCTCCTCCTCCTCCTCGCCTCCTTCTTCCTCTTCTTCATCTCGTGCGTGTGCTTGTGCGTGCATGTGTGTCACACTCAGTCAACCCCAATTACAATGGAGGGGAACCCAAAAGGTCCCGAACCGCCTACACCCGACAGCAAGTCCTCGAGTTGGAGAAGGAGTTTCATTTCAACCGCTACCTGACCAGGAGGCGACGCATTGAGATCGCGCACACGCTCTGCCTCTCCGAGCGCCAGGTAAAGATCTGGTTTCAGAACAGGAGGATGAAATGGAAGAAAGATCATAAACTGCCCAACACCAAGATGCGCTCTTCCAACCCTTCCAGTCTTAACCAGCAAGCCAAAGCACCAGCACAGCATCCCCAGCCGCCACCAAGGGGGAGGACGACCCCAAACTCAGCAGCACTATGATGGCCCGACCTATGCAGGGACCCCTGCCCCCATTCACACGAATGAACTCATGCTCGCGAATATTTTTCAATGGTCATGGGAACCAGTCAACAGTGTTAAGCAGATCAAAGCAGAACAAGAATCCGTGCGGAGTCCAGGGCGCCTACTTAAAACCAAAAAAACTGAACAAAGTGCTTACCATCTGTAAATATGTCTTCATTCCACCATGTTGGTTTTATTTTTCGTTTTATTTTTTAATTTATGGAAATACAGTCTGCCTGCAGCATTAAAGAGTTGTGGATGGACCCCCTGTACCTAAGAAGGAACCCTTTGTATATATTTCTGAAGCCATCAAAATGCTTATAAGTGACTTTGTGAGACATGTGTGTAACCACTGACTTGTATTGTTTTGTGGAATGTTTGTGGATCCTCAGTTACAAAGAGTCAGAAGTAAACCAAGCTAATGTCATTGAACTTTTTAGGAAATTAGGGAAGGGGAATACCCCGTGACTGCACTCTCCTAGCTCTTACCAACAAAGAAAATATTTTTCCTATGTAACAATTCAACTTTTAAAAAGTGTAGTCCTTGCTCTGGTTGTGATATGTTAGCCTCCCCATTGTTGCATACTTTCTTCTCGCTCTCTGTCTCTGCTCTCCCCCATTTCTCTCACTCTCTTTTTAAAGAAAAATACACTCATAGCGCTATAAAGGCCATTTCTGTCTTCATGTCATGCCACGAAGTCTGTGTACAGTTTGTGAATTATATGTGTACACATTTGTGAATGTGTGATATATAGAGATATATAGAGATATAATGTCCAGTGCTGCTAATAAAGACTATTCTGTACAAAAATAAAATTAAAAGCACTAGACGCACCACAAGAAGTGTGCATTTGCTTAGATCTTGGCTCTATTGATATCACGTTGCATTCTTGAGAAATGCACGTTTACTGGACTGTAATGTACAGGCACACAGGTCAACCCTATCCTCAATGGAGGCAGAATACCAGATTTACAGCTGAATAGTTTCACTGGGGATCACCACCCCAGTCCTAACCACATTAGGTGGAAGGAAGTCACTCGGATTTCAATGCCACGGGCTTTCACTTATTAGCCAGTTATTACCGTAGCCCAACATCTCCATGAAACCAAAGACCTGAAAGCAAGTTCCATTGAAACAAGGGGTGGGGGGACATTGGTGGGCTAAGCAGACTGTCATCCAAATGCCTTGGTTTAACTGATGTGTGGCTCTGCCTGCCAGCCCACTCACTGCCTTGGGCAGGCAATTAGGCTTTGCTGCTATTTCTATAGGATGCCGCCTATTTGAAGAAAGGTTTCATGGGCATTTAGTACTCTGGTAACTCCACTGTGCATATACAGCACTTATTTCCTTCTCTGTGTGAACAAGAATACTATTGGAAGTATAGAGATCTCATACGCAGTTCAATAAACTGCTGCAATATTATTATTATTATTAGCCATGCCTTTGATCATGTATCAACTTGAATAATGCCTCATGGTTTTTTTGTTCACGTGTTAGTGGTGGCAACTTGGTAGTCAAGTCACAGTGGTGCATCTTCCTTTAGGGTGAGCATCAACCAGATGCCTTGAAACCAAGCAATTCAATAGCACCCAGAATTTGGCCTTGACATTGGGCATCATTAGCAGTCTTTCATCTATGCAATAGACACAGGTGAACAATCCCTACTTTTGTACATGTCTCCTGAGAAGTACTTCTGATTGAGTTCATTGGGTCTTATTCCCAGGTACATGTGTGAATAGTGTATGCACAGGAAGTAGTACTCATGGGATCTTCTTTTTAGTGAGCCCTAAATGGCACCTAGAACAATAATTCAGTGCCTGTCTTGACTATCTTGATCATTTAATTTAACTGGATATTTTTTAGTTCCATAACTTACAAGCAAGTCTATGCAGGGCCTACCAGGACACTGTGGACAACACTTGCAGTCCAAATGAGACTGGATTGCTATGAAAAATCTGCAGGGCTGTACCAAAATGTACAACCAAGGAACTGGTGTATGTGTGTTTATCTGTGATTTACTAAACCCTTGAATATCCATCCTTTCTAAACTCTTTTAAGAAATAAAGGCGAAAAGGCTGGAATCAAGACAGTATCCCCTCCCACCTTCTAGTGCAAATCTCTTTGTCTAAAGCCTTTGTTTGGTTTGGCATGAAGAATTCTCTTCCTCTAATTTACTGAAACTCTAAAATTAAGAGGAATGCTCAAGACGTTTAATCAACTATTTAAGCAGAAGATTACAGATCTTATTTGACTTCCGCAGCAGCCTCATGCTTGAACCCCCCTTGTTTCCCCCTCTTCCCATTGTAAAACACACACACACACACACTGAAATGAAATCACGCTGAAAATAGCAATTTTACTGGGAATCATTAATCACCTCCTACAATAAATACTTCTTTGTAATTCAACAGTGATTCTGAAAGGCATTCTCTTGGAAAAGGTCTGAGAAGACACGAAGGATTTTCCTGGGGAAAATGTTCTCATGTAGAAAGACACAGTTGCTTGGCTGTGCCATGAAAATGTACACTTTCTGGGTGGAAAATCGAACATGGACAGAAAAATGCATGTGGCAGATTGTCATCATTCAAGGTAATGCCTTTATTTTATTCAGATTTCCCCTCTTTTTCCTTACAATGCAGTATGGTTTACTGTGATGTGTCCGTGTCTGTGCTTCTAGCCTGGTTGGCATAATCAGTGTTACAATAAGTCTGTAGGGTACACAGCGGACTTTAAACCCAACCATTGTCTTGGCTGTGCTAGGGCAATGAGCAGAGTTCACTGAAAGGACAAATTTTCTGTCCCATTAATTGTTTTTTTAAGGGAAGCATGCTGACCCATCAAACCCTTGACCTTTAAAGATAGTATTCTTTCTCTTGGCCCTAAATATGCCCCCCCCCCCATACATATACTTACCTCTCTCTATATATACACAGCACACGCATATATCACACCTCATAATATAAAGGAAGCTTGTCTGGGTTCTTAAAATGGAAGTTTGTTGATGTTTCAGATAGGCAAACTCCAAACCCAAATTCTTTGAATGTAATGAAAGCCCTAATGGTCCCCCCAACACACTGGCCCACCACAAACAAGGACAGAGTGAAGATAGCAGATTTCCTCTTCTCCAGTTTGTGGTAAGTATGGGTAGGTTTACTTCAGTTATGTTTTGGTTTATGGCTGCCTGTGGAAATCATCCATGACTAGCATTCGAAGCATAGCTTGTTTTTCCATGTGCAATCCTGGACTGGGTGGACCATTTTGGACTGGGTGGACCATTTTGGTCTGCTGCCACAAGAAGACTGGCGTAGGAGGGAATGAAGGTTCTTGTGTCTTGACTGGGTGCATCACCATTTCATGTTGTGCAGCATCACTTTCTTCAACAATGGTCGACAGGTTTGCAGGGTCCTATTTCTGCCCTTTCCAGACATATTTTTTTAACTCAATCTTTCTGAGCCATGGACTGATTTTACACCATCTCTCTCTCTCTCTCTCTCTCTCTCTCTCTCTCTCTCTCTC